TAAATAAATTTAACTGGGTTGAGATTTCCTCTCTTTTCTCATGAACATCAAAGCAGCAAGTGCAAAATGCTTGGCATTACTAATGGGTTTCTTCTTCTGCAGTCACCCATGTTTGCATGCTTCTCATCTTGTAGAAACTGTCATTAGTTAATAAGTGTTAATAAATATTTTCTCTGTGCTTGCTCTGAGGATTGGTACAAAATACATATTTTAGCATAAAGTCTCACATTCACCATAATGGAGAGTTCCAGGCCTTTTTCATAAACAAGTTTCCCAGGTCTTCCTTTCCTAGGAAATGAAGCTAAAAAAGGTAGAATTTCTTTTTTCTTTTTGTTGAAAAAAAAACCCCTGAATAAAAAGTATGAAGCAGTCTTTTTACAGGGTTAGTCATCAAATCATGTGGCCACAGATCACATTATGAAGTATAGATTCCAGTCCTACTTTATTAATTATCTTCCTCTTATTTAGCAAAATTTCCCATTCAGTATTTTGAAATGATTCGTATTTTTCTTTCACTGATTTAGCCAACTGATGCTTGTTGTGGGGCATTCAAAGAGGATCTGTCTTCAAAACATGCATAACAAGCTATTGCCTTTTTTTTTTAATTATATGATGTTTTTCAAGAATTGCTTGTTGTGAGATAAAACCCCAAATTACTACTTTTCTAGTTTACCCGCAACTGTGTGTTTTCCCACTGAAAGAATTTAAAGAAGGCACATGTTTTTAGTTGCCGAAAGTCTGAACCTGTGTAAGATTTTCCATGAAAACATGACTTATTTTAGTGTGTAACATAGTGGAGAAGACTCACAAAACTCCTTTTTCCTCTCATCATTAGAGGTGTTTGACACTTCCTCTACTCTCAGGACAGAGAAAGGTACAATATAGAAATTCTGCAGAATAAAATGAAAAAAAGCATGGTTCTCTTTATTGTCAGCCTGACATCAAAAAATAAGGAGTATAGAAGTAGAATGTGAGGGAATTTTTCAACTGCAATATGCCAGTGAAGTCTAATTTTCAATATTAGGACAGGTTTTAAGAATTCCCTCTTTACAGAGGACTGTAATGTCCAAACATTTGATCCTTTCGTCCTTTTTGCTGCATGCTTTTCTTCGTGCAGGGTTTCACCTTAGGATTATGTTTAAAAATGTTGAAGGTGCCAGTCAGACCTCACTAATCTTAATTGCCTGGGCTACGAAGGGGGGAAGCTCTGATCCTGGGAGAATATTTGCATGGAGCTTATGCTTATATGGGGTCTTGAAGGAGTTCCCTGTGTGCACTGCCTTCATGTAGCTCCTGACAGGTTTTGCAGTGGTAGAGTACACACACAGTTTATTTCTCTTTCCATGGCATTTCATTTTCTTCTTCCTCTTTTTTTTTTTCCCCCTAACAGATGGTAAAAATCCAGCGTATTCCAGGACCCAAGGAGCCAGCTGAGCTGACATACTATACCTTATACAACGGGAAACCTTTGCTGGGGACTGCAGCTGCCAAAATTCTGAGTACTGTTGACTCCCAGCGCATGGCCTTGACACTGGGTTATGTTATTCAAGTTCAAGCTGATCGTAAGAATTCTCTTTAAAATTCTCTGGTTTGGTCCTTTATTTCTTCTATTTATCTTTTTCTTTCTTTGTAAGAGCACCAGAGTATGTGTAGGGAGCCTCCGCTGATGACGCAGGGAAATTTCAGCTCCACCTTTCTGAGCAGCTGCTCTTCCTGTGCAAGACAGACGAATATACTGTCTTAGCAAATGAAAGCTATATACCTACTGTTATTTAGCTGTAAACTCTACTGTACAACTCATACACACATGAAGTCCTGTGAACTGAACACCTTTATGGAACTGTAGAGTCAGAACTAATTCTGATGCTTTCTGACGAAACCATGACACTACAGGCTTAACGACTGCTGGGGCTAGAAATGTTACTCAAATAACTTGGCCTAAAGTAAAATGTGGGGGCTATCAATATGTCCTTTATTTCTGACTTGTTCAAAATGATGTAAATTATTTCTGTGTCAAAGGGATTTTTTTTTAAATGATCATTTTCACCAAGACCTTTGAGAAGTGCATCACCTGCTTGTTACAGATCTTCTCCAGACACAAAGCAGGAAAGTGAAGTTGAACAGAACTACTTGTGTATAGACAGGTTTCAGATTCAAGATATCGTAGTATCATTCAGAATAATGTGGCCAATAAAGTAATCCACTCCAGAAAAGTCAAGTGTTTTCAAATTTCTCTTTTAAGACTTGCATCGGTTACTGAGTGGTTGTGGGCACAAGCGTTAGGGCTCTTTTAAAACTTTTTGTGGATATTCCATTACAGTTGTCAGCTGTAAATCTGTGGTGGAGTTTGGAGAGGTTTTTGTGCAATAACACCTAAATGTGTCAAACGATGCCTTTAGCTAATGAACCTCTCTGCTTTGCCATGGTATTATTTATTAAAATGATATTTTATAATTTATTAACATTCTGGAGTGGGCTTCTGTACTGGATCTCCTTCCTGGCTAAACAGTACATAAAATGGGACACCCTGGTGCTATTATTTCTGCATGAAGGAACAGTGATATTGGAATAATTACATGTAATGGTGATAGGAAAAAAGGGCCACTGGAGTAAGTAATTGATATATCCATAAGCATATGATTGAGTTAAAAGACCAAAGTATGATAGAATTTCTGGAGAATGAACTATATACTGTATCTGATCCTTGATTTGATCATGGTTGTTACTAACTTTAATTGGATGGAAACTGATCTCCATTCCTG